AGGGACAATAGAGACAATTTAAGAGACAATTTAAGAGAATAAAACAATGTATTTCAGCATGAAAGCTCTTATTTTTATTGTGTGACCATGTCCAATAACATAACTACATCTCTGCTGTTTGTAACAAACCAAATCGTGTGAAAAAAAAAATCAATGAGTTGCGATTATTTTAGTTGAATAAAGAGCGTTCTCAGTATGAATAAATCCGCTGGGAGCGCGAGAGGCACCCATCCAAGATGGCGGCCGCACTGAAACGTCCGCTCCGGCGGCTCAGTCCGTACGGTATCTCCTGTACATAACTATGGTCATGAAGTAGGTGGAACTTGTTTTGATGCAGCCAATCAAATTACTTGTTGTTAGAGGTTATGCGGAAATCACAATGAAAATTAAAAAAAGCTAACAAAAAAACTTAAATTTACTACAGACATGCCAGTAATAGAAATTAACAATAAAAATCTGAACTGTTTTAATTGAAATGTTAAACTCTATATAACGTCTTTGCTTTTAGTGGGCAAAAACAGTCCGTCAGTAATTATTTGTAAAAATTTGTTGAATGGAAAAAGTGTCGAACTACCGAGATATTTTTTAAATAATCAAAACATGTAACTTTATCTGAGTACTTACCCACTGAATATCTAAAAACGTTTTATTAAAATTATTCAATCACTTTTTAAGCATCAAATCTGTTTTATAAAAATCAGAATGTGTATATTTTACAAAACATTTTTTTCTAGGTAATGATTTCAAGACCCATATTTGTCAACTTTCATAGTTTAATATAAACACGCAACAGTTGCCGAAAATATTTATTTATTTATTTATTTAACTTTGAGCAGTTGTTTTCTCTGTTAGTCCGTGTAGGATAATCAAAAATTGGTTGCTCCTAGTCAAAACTCATTTTTTGCTGTATAGAATGTCTAGAAAGCCGAGTTTGTTCAAATGGCCTGCCACACACGCAACACTTGAACGCAGCATGACATTCTGCTCTGCCCCTTCCTCCGCAGGGATGATGCGTTCACGGGCGTTCCAGCGGAAACCAATGGTGCTTCTGAATCATTGACGGAGAGGCGGGGTTTAAATCTCCGCGTAATAAATACGTCGGTTCGCTGTCTAAACGTCCGCTCTCTTGCCCCAGACGACTTGGACCCTGCTGTGGTGTCTGTTCCGTTCACATTTTTCAACAAATCTCACCTAAAAGCCCGCAAACATGAGCAGGAAGTTCTTCGTCGGTGGAAACTGGAAGATGAACGGCGACAAAAAAAGCCTAGGGGACCTCATCCAGACCATGAACGGAGCCAATGTGGACCCCAATGTCGGTATGTGTGTGTTTTTATTTTACCAGCAGCTAGACGAATTCATTCATAACAKTCAACACAGTCTTACTTTTTAATCAGACCCTATTTTGATGTTTGTATTCATTTTTTACATCAAAGTCAAGCTAGGCTATTTGGTCGATTAACACAACTCAAGGACACCTTTAGCATCACAATCATTAAAAGCTGGATTCAGTGTATTTTTGTTTTTTTAAAGGGAGTTAAGTAAAACCCATGCAATTAGAAAAAAACCGACAGGGACACAGATGAAGGACGAATAGGAGGTTTTCCTCCATCATGTCGGAGGAGGTGGGTGTTGCGTTTGCAGCGGCACGTAGTCCCGCTGCTGCTGGGGTTCATTCAAGTTCACCCTGTGGTTATCCACCTCTCATTCATTTTAGGGCCTGGTGTGTGAAATGTAGCGGTGAGCAAAACAGGTTTCAGTCAGTAGGAGTCTTACAAACTCTACAAATATGTTTTGTTAGTCGTTAGCTCGTGTATGAAAGTCTGGCTCGATTGTTGTTTTTCCGACCGTGACCTGRACGCATCGCCTGGCCTGACTGCTTCTGTAAACCAGAAAGAGAAGCAGCTGCTGTTTTCTAAAGGCCCTCTCTCAGGTCACGATCTTCCTCTCGGCCTTGTAAGGGAGACACTGAGAAACTGAATGTGTCCCGGCCTGTTTGCAGTTTGCATTATGCAGCTTTGATATTGATTTTAACATTTCCAGGCCTGATCTGTGCAGACTACCTTTTGGACCTTGCTCTCTGAATCCGCCCCCCTTTCAGTGCCAAACTGAAATCCTATCTGGACCATTTCCCCACTATCCTTTCCAAAAGTCAAAGTTCATTTTTTGCACTCAAATATTGTTCTCCATGTTCTATATTTGATCCATGTGACCCTGTTTGAATTTAATCCATGACCTTTTTTCAGTGATTGAACTCAGACCTTTTTAATGCGGTTGACTCAGACCCAGGACAAATGACCTTTTACTACACCAATAATAACATGCGGTGTCTAATATAGATCCTCATAACCCCAAAGATAAAGTTACATTGTGAATGTCAGTGTCTTGGCTTTACTGTACTCTGCTTGTCTTAAAACATATGCTACTGGGGGAAATGCAAAAACTTGTTTAAATGCATTATTTCTGGTGTTTGGTTTATTAGTGTATCTAAAACCATCTAAAATATATAATTAATTGTTCAGATTTCACCCAAACATTAAAAAAACACTTTGATTAAACAGTAGTTTTTAATTTTACAGGTCATCTTATTCTTATTTAAAGACTCCTACTATTATACAAAATACAACATTTAAATATGGACAAGCAAATCCTAACCTAACCCCTGTTTTTTATTTTATAGAGGTAGTGTGTGGCGCTCCGTCCATCTACCTGGACTTCGTCAGGTCCAAACTGGATGCCAAGTTCGGCGTGGCAGCCCAGAACTGCTACAAAGTTCCTAAGGGTGCCTTCACTGGGGAGATCAGGTAACGAGAGGCAAATCCTATATTTTTGGGTGAAATGCATAATTGTGCCATTTTAGTGTTCATTCTGCCGGTCCTCTGCCCCCAGCCCTGCGATGATCAAAGACTGTGGCGTGAACTGGGTCATCCTGGGACACTCTGAGAGGCGCCACGTCTTTGGAGAGAGTGATGAGGTAATTCTGGATCACAGCTGTAGATTTTCTCACATTAAACCAAAACAAAAAGGAAAAAAAAACGCCCATTTTAAAACTTAATTTCATCCTGTGTGGCATCAGCTTATTGGTCAGAAGACCGCTCACGCTCTGGAGAATGGTCTTGGCGTGATCGCCTGCATCGGCGAGAAGCTGGACGAGAGGGAGGGGGGCATCACGGAGAAGGTGGTGTTTTCCCAGACAAAGGTCATCGCAGGTACGCAGCTTCTGTTGCACAAGCTTTTCCACATACAGGGTCTGAATGCTGAAATCTGGATGTAGTTGTGAAATCCCACTTCAAGTCTTATCTCTTTGACAGACAATGTAAAGGACTGGAGCAAGGTTGTGCTCGCCTATGAGCCTGTGTGGGCCATTGGCACYGGCAAGACTGCCTCTCCACAGCAGGTAAGTATTAAAAAACCACTAAATATTTCAGCGTTATGACCGGCATGGTTCTCAAACATGTCTCCTGTGTGATATCTCAGGCTCAGGAAGTTCATGAGAAACTGAGGGCGTGGCTGAAGACCAATGTGTCCGAGGCTGTGGCCAACTCTGTGAGGATCATCTACGGAGGTGAGTTCATGGTTCGACAGATTATACATTAAAAAATGTCTTTATTTTCTCAAATCGATCCCCGCTCATGCATCAATGCTGCTCCTCAGGCTCCGTAACTGGTGCTACCTGTAAAGAACTTGCCTCCCAGAAGGATGTAGATGGTTTCCTTGTGGGCGGAGCTTCCCTCAAGCCAGAATTCATTGACATCATCAACGCCAAGGCATAAAAACTCGACGAGATCAGCTCCCTTCAGAGGATCCGGTTACTCTCAACACTTCCTTCCCCCTTCTTTTTGCTCAAAGTATTTGTGTAATGTTGTCATACCCCCCTCTTTTTTTATCCCCTTCTTTTATTTACATATTTTTGGGGCACATTTTGTCATAAGGAAAGGGACAGGCTGACACATGCACTGATAAGTCTACTGAGAACAGCCTGAGTGCTAACTAACTTCCACACCAAGTGCTCGACCTGTAAAGGCTGTCACCTAGAGGTGGACAGACGGTCCACGCCTTTACTTGAACAGTTTACAAACTGCTTTTTTTGTGTGAACAGTGTCACAGCTCCTGTTGATCATGTTTGTGTGTCTTTTTACTGGTGTCTTTTTGTGTAATGTTTATCTGTGGCTTTGACCTCCCCTATAGATGTGCATGATCCAGTTTCTCATTGGTTGTTTTATTGAGAGGAAAGTACTCCCAACACGTGAACCATATTGTGGCCGATAAGTAGGAGAGAAAAGTTATAAGAAAATATTATAATAAACGGTTTAGAGTCTATTTCAGTGTACTGTTGTTTTTGCCCTGGTGGCTTTTGTAATTTGACTTTCTATCCAAACCATTCCTTTTTGATCATTTAGATACATGTTTATTTAATAACCTTATTGATAGTGGGGGAGGGTTTATTATTACTTGTGTGACAATACCTTGAATCACTTCATTACTATTTTTTTAACCACGTCAGTAAAAATTTAGCCTTTTTTTGTTGTTGTTGCTCATAAACATAAAAAGTTACTAAACTTTAGCAGAGGCAAATTTAGGAAAAAATCTGAAGATTTGACCACATGCAACAACAAAAACAATGCTGTGAGAATTTTTTATTTTTATTATTTCACATAAGGGTTTCTGCCATATTTTACACGCAWAACCTTCCGATCTACAGTAAGCCAAGTTTTGGTGAAATATTTGCTTTCCTCACATATTTACAGTATCTCTTATCCAACCTCACTGTTGAAAAACGAAATGAAATGAAAGAAGAACATTTAGCTTAGAATATATTATACAATAAAGATGTTAGACAAAAAGTGTCAGAGAAAATGAACTGTACTTATATAGCACCTTTCGATCCATCCAGGACACTCAAAGCGCTTCACACTACAGACATTCACCCATTCACAAGATGATTCAATTCAATTCAAAAATACTTTATTGATCCCAGAGGGAAATTAGGTCAATGGCAAACTACATTGTAGCCACAGCTGCCTTGGGGCACACTGACAGAAGCGAGGCTGCCATGCACCAGTGCCACCGGACGCTCTGACCACCATCAGTAGGCAAGGCAGGTAAAGTGTCCAAGGACACAACGGCATGTGGGCATGGCAGGGAGTCGAACCTGTGACTTGCGGGTCCCAAAGCCGGCTGCTCTAGAAAACAAAATAAAGAATCATAAATTACAAAATTGCACAACTGAAAATTAAATAACAAATTAAATTAAAGGTAAATAACTCCCATTTCTTTTAAGTTCCAGATAATTTGTTACTTTCTAAAAATTGGATGTTTGATACAGGGGAATATGTTCAGGAATAAAACAAACCAAAAATGTGAAAGGTATACTAAAATAAAATTTGAGTAATTTGGATTTGATTTAATTTTACTGGGAATCTTACCTTCACTACGTTTTCCACAAATTGATCAAGTAAATTGTCTAATTTGTATGGTGTAAATTATAAAATTAAACACATTTTCCAGAACCTTTTACCTTCTGTTCACAGTCTGTTGTCGTTGCTCTCCCGTCCAGCAGAGGGCGACAGCGCCGTTTTCTTTTTGTTCACGTGCGTCGCTCGGAAGTCTTCGGTCACGTCCGTGTTTACAACCGAAGCGTGACGTTCACGGACCCGCAAAAAATACACGTCTTTCAAGCTCGACTGCGAGCCGCTAGTTTGTCCGAACGCCTTAAAAAAAAACAAAAGAAATGCAGTCGCTGAGAGTTTTCCTCAACGAGAGGCTGTCCCTCGTGGCAGAAGAGATATTTGAAGCCGTCGAAAAGACGATAGCCGGGTACACGGAGGAGATTTTACGCACGAAAGATTTAGAAATAAGTCGTCTCAGGATGCAGCTGAGGCTTCTAAAGTCGAGTAAGTTTGAATAAAATTATTCTTGTGACCAAATGACGTGTGGTTTTATGTTAATGTTTTAGTMAAATATTGTGGCTGTGGTGTTATTTTCTTCCTTTTCTTCAGAGTCTGTGTCGGACAAATGTCCTGAAAACCAGCAGCTGCAGCACACTGCTCATCGCCATGATTCTCCCCCTCCTCCTCCTCCTCATGACCAGCAGCACCATCAATCATTCCCTGCAGAGGCTGCTGCTCCTGAGCCCCATCACTGTGGGGAGGAGGAGGACAGCAGCCTGGATCAGGAGCTTCCAGAAACCTCACAGGTCAAGAATGAGGAGGAGGAGGAGGAGGACACGACCARCAAACACTTCTGGATAAATCACGAAGAAGAGGAAGAAGAGGAACATATGGAAGATCTGGAATCAGACCTCACTTCTTCTCCCACCGGCACGAAAGCCAGCCTGCACGAGCAGACCTTACATTTCCAGCATTTCCTGAACAACAACGGCAACAACAACAGCAGCAGCGGCGAGGAGAGCAGAGACAAACCCTACATCTGCTCTGTGTGCGAGAAGCGCTTCAGTAACTGTTCCCACCTGGCCGCTCACATCAGGACTCACACGGGGGAGAGGCCGTACATGTGCGAGACGTGCAAGAAGACGTTCATCACGACAAGCGCCCTGAACAGACACAAGACCATCCACACCGAGGGGAAACGCTTTGTGTGCAACTGCTGTGGAAAATCCTTCAAATGGATGGAGTCTCTGGGCAGACACATGAGGAGTGTGCACAAAAAGGACGGCGTGCCTGAATGAGTCCCTGCAGGGAGGAGAGAGCTCAGATCCACACTAATATACCCCGCTGCTATTTAGTGGCAGTATGTTGCACATCGAGAGGAAATTAGCAAATAAAAACAACAGATCTATGAGAAAACCCAGCCCTCTTCGAAGCTCTGTAACTCAGACATGTTACAGTAAAAAACATCGTTCAACGTTTAAATGGGTCACAAAAGATACTACACGACTAAACCATCATTTTTATAGCTTTTACCTTTTTTATGCAGTCCCAGTTTAAGTTTTATGAKTTTTGAGGATTTTTTTTCCCATGTCACACACTGCCTTTTGAAATGTCTACAAATTTCAAAACGTTTTCAAGCAAACTCTTTTTATTTTTTTGGACGCATCATTAGACATCAAAACGCAAACATTTTTGTCTTCTTTTACGTGGTGTGTTTCTCACTGCTGAAGGACTTGTGCTTTTTTCTCAAACCCTCTCCAGAATGCAGTGTGCACAACCAAACTTCAGTCATAATTTAGCTCTAWATTCCCTCTTCAGAGCTGGAAGTTTTAACTTTTGAACTTGTTATATCTCCTACATAAAAGACTGGAAACATAAAATTTCCCATGCGTGACCATCACGGTTCAAGAATTTATAAGATTCAACTTGTAGTTTCTGCACAGCCACTGTTTGAGGTATTAACTGGGGGTTGCTGGACACAGGGGTTGTGTATTGGAAAAAATTTGGTAATATTATATTTGTCATGACACTGGGATCATTGCCTTTTTTCTCCAAAAGATTCTAACTAAAAAAAACTCAATATAAAGAGCACACATGCATAAAATTTGAGTAAATTCAGTTTATATTTATGCAATTAGAAGAACACTGAACAGTGAGAACTGCATTTGTATTTCACATTTCTTCTTCCAACATCCATCCATAAAGCCTTAATTAAAAATCGGCACAGTGATTTTCAGTATCGATACAGTGTCAGGAAATAAAATATTTMGAWATTTCAGTGTATCAGTATTTTCTTACACTAGTGACCACAATGAGCCACTAGCAGCAGCTTTAGTATTTTTCTTTTTAAGTCTTGTTTTCTTCACATTTTAWACAGTTCCTACATCAAATTGTAACTTTTTTTTAGATTATTACAAAGTTATTTTTGAAATTTTGGTCTGGAGCTGATTTGGCATTCTTCAACATTTCTTCCAAAATTTTTATTCCATATATTCATRTGTGGTTTGATTAAAAAACACTTAATTGTGTTAGAAAGATTTTTATTGTTGTAATAAACTGTGTGTAGTTTGTGAATAAATTTGGTTGAAATATGTGTGGAGCTGATTAAATATTCTGTACATTAACAGCAGAATATAATGTTCAAGTAGTTGTGGGTTTTTTTTCTACTAAAAGCCTGTTGGTTTTTTTTCTTTCAGTAATAAATCTCTGAAATGTAATGTCTCATGCTTTTTCATTTCTGCTGCAGAAGAGCAAAAATAAATAAATTCCAATATGTTCCAGCAGGTGGCAGAAGTAACATTTCATTCATAATCACCCATGTTATAAAAAAACCATTATGTTTTAAAGAGCTACAGAATTACATCTTGAAAAATTATTTCATTATTYAATCATCTTAACATTTTATTTTATATACAAGCAGTATGGATGCATATATAGTAGGTGCAGTGAAAACTATAAACAAAACAAAAACTAAGCAATTGGGTGTTTTGTTATAACAATGCTTCTTAAAAAATGTTATAMTGAAGTTTTAGAAAACAAAATATGTTGACAATTTAACAAATTATTCATTTTGGAAACTGGCCTCAGCTACAAAGCTTTGAAAGGTATAACATATTTAATTTTCTCATATGAATGTTCTGTAAAATAGTATCCATGTAAAGCTGTGATTGTCTTGTTTTGTAATAAATGTTCTATTTATGCCTTGGAAACGTATTCTGTGTGTTTATTGTTGTGGAACTACAGCCAGAAAGGTGTTATATTCCTAAATAAATTACTKACKTAYTCATGTGGAAGAACCATACACAGCCACAATAGCAGAATAAGCTGTTTAGTAGAGAAAACAGAGTAATCTCTGTTGTTCAAACTACAAATGAGACAATTTAAGTGGAATAAAAGAGACTCTAAAATTTATTTCCAAGAAGCATTGTAACAAAAGATACTTAATCTTCCAAACACATATTTTGTTTGATGTTAAGTTTACATATATTTTTGCTTATGAGTAAAGGCTTGAATATATGTCAGTGGAAATGAAGTGCTGAGAAAATGTCAAATTTTATTGTAAATATTTGATTTTCCTGGTTTACAGGTTTTTACATATTTTTTCAGTAATCATGAAAGAAAACAAGCAAAGGTTTTATTCTCCATTGAGCAACCAAAATGTTTTCAGTTGCTCCACTGGTTTTCTCAATTTGTTTTTGATATTCTTTGAGGTTTTGAGGTCGAACAGCTTCTTTTCAGTCATTTTGATCGTCCTGTTGTTCATCCTGAACATCTTGACTTAAAAAAATCTTTCAAAAAAGCAACAAAACCTCCTGTTTGAAATGTGTATTTTGACCCACTTAAATCACGTTGCTGCTGGTTTCCAACTGATGAGAACCAAAGTGAAACACTGAAACTACTGTGTCCAGTCTCAAGTGAGTATTACAAGTTAAAGGAGATTGATTGTCTCCATAATAAAAGAAAAAGTGAAAACGGCAACAGAACCAGTCTGCAGCCAGACGACAGTTTCTCTGTTTCAGACTGGTTTGACTCTAATGTAGATGTATTAGAACTTGGGGGGGGGATCCACCCCTCCTTTTCGTCTCCCATTTTACAACAAAACCCTGAACGGTTTGTGGGAAAGCATGTGGCCTCTGGCTGGAGGAAACCAAGGCTGAAACAATAAAACTGAAAATGACAGACGTGAGTTCAAACAGAAAAGCAGCAGCTATACGAGAGAAACAGGAATAGGAAAAAACAACTAAAAGCAGGTGAATGTTGGAGTCAGCTTTTTAAACTTTGGTCCAAATGTTACCCAGAAGCAGCAAAGTGTGTTAGAGTTCTCGCTGAAGAGAAACAGAAGAGTGACATGTGCTGCGGGGAGCTTCTAAACCACATGAATCAGTGCATTCAAACAAAAACACATGACAGAGCTGCTCCACGTTCTCTGTGGCCCGATTGGAAGTTCAGGCTTTGATTTCAGTGTCCTTGTAGGAGGACTCCTTGAATGATGAAGCTGGATGTGTAGATGCAGATGTTGCAAACAGACACACGTTTAACTCTTTGTACCCTATAAGGAAGAGACTTTATAGTTTATTTTATTCAAATGTTTACTGTTATAGTTTGTTTTAGGAAACTTTATGCTTTGTTGTCAGTTTTGTAAAGGAGGTTTTGAATATCAATGAGTTTCACCTGATAAAATAAGAACCCATCCATCCATCCATCCATCCATCCATCCATCCATCCATCCATCCATCCATCCATCCATCCATCCATCCATCCATCCATCCATCCATCCATCATTTTTCTGACAGGACCATGGACGCAGATTTGGAGGTCTTTTCGATCCTCACCCCAGCTGCTTCACACTCAGCTTTGAACCGCTCCAGTGAGAGCTGAAGATCACATCACGATGCTGACACCAACAGGACCTCATCATCTGCAAACAGCAGAGATGGAATCTTGAGGCCACCCAACCTCCACCCCCAGTTGTATCAATAAATTCTGTCCACTATACCACTTTTATTTCTAAAGCTTAAAACAGCACAAGGCCAACCAACCGACACCCACAATCCCATACTCATGGAGCACCCCCCACAGTTAGGCCTACCTCGAGGAACACGGTTAAATGTCTTCTCCAAGGCCACAAAACACATGTAGACTGGATGGGCAAACTCTCATGACCCCTCAAGAACCTTAGTGAATTGGTCTATCGTTGGTACATTCTTCCTCCTGAATCTGAGGTTCGACCATTGATAGGACTCTCTTCTCCAGCAACCCTAAATAAACCTTACTAGGGAGGGGGGCTAAAGAGAGTGATGCCCCTGTAATTGGAGCACAACTTTTTGAAGAAGGGAGCCACCACCCTGGTCTGCCAATCCAGTGTGCACTGCTTCCAGTGTCCACGCCAATTTGCAAAGGCGCGTCAAAGATACCCCCACAACATTCAGTCAGTGATTGACTTTATAGACGTGTCATCTGATCTGCAGGACATTGTGTTCAAGTGGTTCATGACAGAGGCAGCTGAGGTGCATCGGCAGGGCGTGGAGGAGTTTGGTGAGACCTTGGATAAAGACTCTCAATCGACTATGAGAAGATTCTGCCAAACCATCTGGCGGCTGAGGCTGGGAAAGCAGTGCTTCACTTACACCATGTCCAGTGGTGTTGACCTCAACCAGTGATGTCATCAAGAGGGAGAAGGGATACTACTCAAACCTTCTGCACTGGTTTTTAGTTCAAGCTGGGTTTGAGTGCCATCAGAGGCAGAGCCGGCTCTTGGCATAGGCGAACTAGGCGGTCGCCTAGAGCACCATCTGCTGGAGAGGGCGCCGAACTGCAGAAGAAAAAAAAGTAATTATTTGTAATCCCTGGTTGTAACTCTGCTCAGCGCCCCTTTCATTTAGCTTTGTCTTAAAAAAACCATAATGAAGTATTTCAGGAAAAATAAACTACTGTACCAATACAACATTTTCTTTCCCCCCCTCCCCCAATGCAGCAATCGCCCCACCCCTCTCTCATTTGATTGATGTTGCACTGACTCGTCCTGCTCCAACACACTGACGGGGGAGGGGCTAGTAGTGCCTCTCAGGTAGTGGTTTGTGTTGACAAACTCAATAACAAGTCTTTATTTTGTTGTCCCATACATGTCAACCTCTTCTGACATTTACAGCATAAAAAGCCTCAAAAATCCGTAAATTTTGCAAAAGATCCATACAACCCGCACCCGCGGGGGTGGGGGTGGGTCAGCCTCGCTGAGGACATGAAAGCGCCTGCTGCGAAGCAGGAGGAAAGGAGAGCGGAAAAAGTACAAAACTTAATTCTACCACACGCTAAAAATGAAATGTTGGATTTACTTAACCATGTTATGTTACCTGGTTCCACTTAACTGAGTTGAGTAAATTCAAAGCAACATACTAATGTTCTTTGGCTAAAAAACTGGTATATTGCTTTGAATTTACTCAACTCTGTTAAGTGGAACCAGGTAACATAACATGGTTAAGTAAATCCAACATTTCATTTTTTACAGTGCAGCAGAACAGGTTGGAAGATGGTTGTTCAATGTTATTTGCTATTTTTAAATCATCCTGCAGGCTCTGACACGTTAGATAAATTTGAAAATGAGCTTTTGAAAAAATCTGTAAGATTTGAAAAAATCCGTAAGATTGCCCTATACATCCGTATACCTGAAAAATGACGTAAAATCCTCATAACTTACGGACAATCCGTACAAGTTGACATGTATGTTGTTATTTATTTGCTTTCTGGGAAAGCAAATAAATCTATGTTTACCATAGTACCTTACACTGTCAAAATTGTTTTTAGGGGTTCAAATTGGGGGTGGGTGGAACATAGTTCGGGGGTGGGGGTTGCGCTTCAACTCACCTAGGGCACCGAAATGGCTAGAGCCAGCACTGATCAGAGGGATAGAGTTGTGTCTACTTCCCTGTCTATAGTTTATTTTTAGCTTATGGTTTTAATTTAGATCTTTCAATTTTTATTTTGTTTTTTTTCACCTTATGAAGCACTTTGGTCGACACTGTTACTTTGAAACATGCTATATAAATAAACTGATTGATTTACTGGCGTTTGCTTTTTGTCGTGGGGGTTGCTGATATCCAGCAGTCGCTGTGGGAGGCAGGGTCTACCCTGGACAGGCACAAGCCAGTCATAGACTTTACTGGGTGGTAAAAATGACAAACATTGTGTTTGAATTACTCACTCTTTGGGTCTGGAATTAATATTCCCTCTGTTGTAACTGTTGGGTTAGAAACAAGCCTGGCGAGCTGCAGGAGTGTGACATTAATTATCGTGTAATAAAAAGCAGACCCTAATCCCTGGACTTGTTTGTTTAGTTTGCATAAATTAATGTCACATGTCAAAGCAGCCGAGCTGACAAATAATTCTTGTTGTGATTTAGTCTCACACTGATGCTCTCTGTCTGGTGTCCCATTTTTTTAAACCAATGCTGATTATTTCACAAACCACCAAAAATGGAAATTATGACTTTTCAAACAGTTGTGGAAATGAATTTAAAAATACAATTAATTCAAAATAATGACTTGCAAAGAATTATTCTGAATTTCAATCTAACATAAAAGGAATGCATATTAAACTAAAAAGTTGTTGTTTTTGCTGTTTTCAGATCCTCAAACGGCATCAAAACAAAAAGACAAAAATTCAGTAAATGAAATCACTGCATGGACTCAMGATCACCTTGTTTTAAAGAATTTTAATCATGACTGTTGTGGCTAAAAGATGAATAATGCTTTAACCTGTCAGTGAGAATTTTGAAGTGGGGCTGAGCGCAGTGTGATGAACACAACATAATAATTGAAAACAGCAGCTAATAATACTTATTTTATATCCAAGTTTGTGAATATTCTAACGTCATTGTGTCTTTTATGTCCCTGTATATTATGGACAAAAAAACTGGTGATGTGCTAAGAATAAACCCCAGATGTGAAGTCACCTGAGGGGGGTGGGAATGAGACATGTCCCGCTCAAAGATATGTTGACACACTTATTCAAGGTGACTTTAAATGACACAAAACCTGGAGTCATGTTGGTTCTGCAGAATGAAGGCCTGCTCTTGTGTAAAAGAGGGAAAAAGTGCAATTTTTTTCCCCCCTGTTTTGTTTTAAGGGGTGTTCTAGGACGTATCAATAAATATTAAACCCTGCAATAACATGAAGCTTGTTCTGCGAGCCAGCAGTCGAGTCTGTCAAGGCCACAAGTCACTGAACCGGATCCGTTTGGAAGAGATTCCTCTGGTGGGACACGGTGAAGACACACACAACCCTGAGCCCTCAGCAGCCTTCGTAAATCACACCCCCGGCAGCTCCTCCCTTCTCTCTCCTTAATTTTTTTCCTCCTTTCTTCTTATTTTCTTTCTCTCGCCCCCTTTTTTTTTTTGCAGAGCAGTGAGGAATGTTCGCTCGACGGGGTGGCTGCTGTTCACTGGAGCGACTCACCTCCCGTGTCTCACACTCATCCCATGTGTCTCCTATTAGCTCCACTCACCAAAGAGAAGGAGAGGGGAGAAGCTGGAAAGATGAGAGAGGAGGAGGAGGAAGAGGAGGAAGGGGGGGGGGGGAGGAATTTGATATGCTTTGTGCATGAGTGACTTGTATCAAACAAAGAAAAGGGCAAATACTCCGAAAATGTATGGAAACTGTGTGCACACACGAATACTCCAAAACTAGCAAAAAAGAGATTATAATTTATTTCCAGATGGGTTCTTTTTTTTTTGCCTTCATTTGCATCTTGTTTCACAATCAAAAATAAAAAATAAAAACCGACCGCCATACCATGAAAATGTAAAAAAATAATACAAATAATATGTGCTGTATATATAATTATATCATTATCAACAAACAGACAACATTAATCATAATAACAATACGATTATCAGAAAACAGAACACTAAAATGCTGGTTTCATGCATATAGAACGCCCCCTCAGATACAAGGGGGGAGGGGGGGTGTTTACTAAAAATAGAACCAAAAGTTCCACCAGTTCAGAATAAGCGCCTAGCTACATGCAACGACATAAAAGGGACTCATGTACACATTCCTTCAAGTATTTTACACATACTGTACTTCACTGTTGTCAACCCCCCTCCTCCGTGTATTATTCTGTACAGAACAAAACAAGATTAAAGAACATTATGCAGGAAAACGCAGGAGTCTGGTGCAGTTTGCAGGAACTATGTGCAACATTTTCACTCCTTCCTTCGTCTTTTCTTCATCCTTCCTTAAATGAATCTGTCTGGAGATCCAGTTTTTGTTCATAAGTCCTTTTTGTTTTCAGTGCTTTTCTTTTCTTTTTCTTTCTTTTTTTGTTTGTTTGTTTCTATTTTTGCACCTCAGTTTTTCCTCTGGGCTGCTCCTCCCTCACAGGGTCTTGTCACTTTCTTTCTTCAGGTGACTGAAAGGTACACAAGAAGAAAAAAGAAAGAGAGAATCATGTCGRTGGAGAAAACGAAAGCTCTGGTTCGGTTTTGTGGATGTTTCAGCTTTTATTAATCCTGTTAGTTTATCAGACAGGTTTTTAAAGCCCGACTTTGTTCAGAGTCAGACTGTAATCAAGATAGAGAGATTTATGAAACATGGAAAGATGAGTTTACTTTCACATCAAAATGTTTTTGACTGTGTGTGTGCGCATTCTAGTATTTGTTTTCTTGTTTGGCCTCTTTTCCCAAAATTTACTACCTTGTGAGGACCCACTGCTCTTTATGGGACACAAAGCCGGGGCCCCAAAGATTYAAATGCTGTTTTTGGACAGAGGTTACCTTTAGGACGTAGGTGTGAATTAAATTTAGGTTAGGTGTAAGGGTTAGTGTTAGGCTATAAAAATAAATGAAAAAGAATGGAAGCCACAGAGAAGTCCCTGATAAGATGTAAAAATAAAATACTGAATGTGCATGCAGTAGGGTTGGGCAATATTGGCAAAAAAATTAATCACGATTAAATTGCGGTATTTAGCCGATAGCGATTAATTTGACGATTAATCCCCTGGAGTCCCTGGACACCCTTATATCCTGGTCACATGACCAGTTTAGTGGGAAAGATTTGCTCTTCATAAAAATCTGTTCCAAATTGTGTCAAAATTACAGACTTCAGGCTGTACATCATATTTTAAATTGTGTAGATAGATAAATAAATTGCAGAACTTGTTTTAATGTTCATCATATTTGAAGCAGAGAGGAGCAGCGAGCGGACTCTGCCTGGTAGTATTAATCGTATTAATTGTCAAGTGCCAAAAAGTAATCGATTAATGTTTTTCTGACGATTAATTGCACACGATACGATTATGCCCAACCCTAGCATGCAGGTATTTTTCTGCAGTCTTTCTCCCATAAATAAATAAATAAATAAATAAACATGTACAAGAGGTTGCCTTCAGGCCCAGGTCGCCCTTGAAAAWGAGATCTGGGATCTCAGTGGGTTTGCCTGGTTTAATAACGGTAATAAAATAAAATAAAATGTAACCATTGGAAGTCCATCTATAACTCCAGTAAAGATTGAAGTCACATCTAAACCAAGAATTGCTACAACTCAGTCAATTGTAAAGCTACTTAGCAATAATTTGGTGTAGTAGTAGCAGAGAGTCACACCTAACACATATTCTGAGCATTAACCTATCACGAGATCTGCTTTTAAAACGTTGCCATTAACCAATGAAGTGTTTCTGTCTGTTTCTGATCTATTGGATTGATTTTAATGAATCTCTCACAGTCATTTGATGTACAGCGTGAGTAAAAAGTCACAGGACACCCTTTTATTTTGGTCCACTGTGGCAACTTTTGAGATGGCGGCCATGTTCCACACATAACACATAACAGAGGTTTTCAACCCTGTTCTTTGTAACCCACTGTCCTGCATGTTTTAGCTGTTTCCTTCCTTCAGCACACCTGGTTCAAATATATTACCTGCTCAGAGTGTCATCAACTTCAGCAGAAGCCAGTCAATCACTCATTCATTTCAGTCAGGTGTGATGAAGCAGGAAAACATCTAAAATACGCAGGATAGCGGGTCACAAAGAACAGGATTGAAAAGACAGGCCCCCTCACATGTTACTTGTTGGGATATTCAGATATTTCATTTTCCCTTTTCATCCTGAAATAAAAGGGTGTCCCGGTATTTTTGACTTACTCTGTACATCTAAAAACTCATTAACATTTGGAGTCAACCCAATTTAAAATGGCCAACACCACTAATTGACCTTAGCCAACATAACAATGTCTGTAACTCAGTCCATTTTACAGATGTTGAGCTAAATTTGGTGTGGTAGTAGTTGAGAGTCATCCTCAACACAGATCTCATAGAGGTTCTTAAAGGATTGACCTAAATGACTACAACTACATCTCTCAAATAATTTTCCTGTTTATCCCTAAATCTGTGAGTTATGAATTCACTTCATTTCACAACAAATGGCAGAATAAAACCAACAGATTGTCAAGCCAAAGCAGGATAGTTTGTTCATAAAGATACGAGATAAAATATACTGCAACTGTTTAGGTACGTACTTTGAACAATATCACGCATTTACCCACTGTGCTATTACAAAAAAAAAATTCTAGAATGTCAGATTATAAATATCCTAATTAAATAATAATAAAAAAAACTTGCAAATAAACATAAAACTAAAACACTGACCACTGGCTTATTACTTAACCCAGGGTGGCACTTAAGTGTTGGGCGATGTTGGCAAAAAAAATTATTATCAATTAGCCAATAACAATTAATATGACAATTTATAAATGAAAATTACACGTGCATATTTTTGACTCTAAATCAGTTACCCTGTGTTTTAAAATTATACTTCAAATCATCAAATCATCAGTCAAACTAACTTCTYCGTTTCAATAGTAAGCTGTGAACTGAAATCTAATTTATCCTCAATGTGAAGTGGCATCACATCTTTAGAAACTTAATATGCCACGGGCTAACACAAAACACATCATAACATGACACTAATTGCAGTAATTGCAAAGTGACAAATATTCATTGTTGACAGTTTTTCTGACGATTAATTGCACTCGATATGTTTTTGCCCAACCCTAGTGGCATTATGCCACTGGAGCCAACAACAGTAATTTGGTAATATGATGTGAAGAACTGCTGAAGCCTCCATGTTGAACAGTATTTTGTTGTTCTGATGTGTTCTTTCAAGACATTTAAAACTATTTATTGAGAGAATTCACATTATCTTTACAGAAAGTTGCTATTTTCAGGTTTTAATTTGCAGCTCAGAGACTCTTGATGGTTTTGAAAACAGGAACATGTAGTTTGTGGAACTGAAGGCTGTGTCGCACATATTAAATCTTTGCTTTATGAACAACAGGAAGCTTATGTACCTGTAATACTCGTCCTGGGTGAGGGAGTGGTGGTGATGGTGGTGGATCCACTGTTGTTCCAGGGCCAGTCTCTGGATCTGCAGCTCTGCGCTCTGGGCCTGCTGCATGGCCTGGAGCTGGTGGGCTGCTGACATGGGACCAGAGAGGGAGGACGGCTGGGGTAGGTCACGGAAAGGAGCACCTGATTCGTTTTGAAAAAAAAGAGAGAGAGAAAGAATGGGGTTAGCCTTCAGCATCAAGAGTCAAAACGTGTCTTCATAAACTTTTCAGCTTTGTGTTAGAGAAGAAAACTGAACGAGTACATGGACGAGGAGCCTTCTCCTCACCGAACAGCTGCTGGCGGAGCACCTCGCTGTCAGTGAGGGGGTGAGCCAAGATCGGAGTGCCGAGGGTGGCTCCGGGGTAAGGGAGGCGTGTCAAAGGAGACCCCGATGCCAACGGGTCCATCAGGGGGTGAACCCCGCCCGCCGCTGGATGCCAGTGATGTAATAGGAAATACAAGAAATATTTTAAATGAGTCAAAACACAATGCTCACATTAAAGTCATTCAAGCTGCATTACAGAAGTGTTTTTGTTTTTCTTTTTTTATTTGGTGGGGGATATAAAACTTAAATACTAATATTATACATTTGTTTTTAGGTCTAAGTGGTCTAACATTTTTGTAAAAAATGTCTGGCTGTCTTTAGGGAAAAGCCTAAAAATTGCGAAGCCCATAAAAAAAATTAATGTGAGATAATTTATGTGTGGCCACAAGATAATTAAAGCAGTTATGTCCATGCAGATACTGTTGATTGTTTTCATGGACAAGTTGACATTAATTCTATTTTATTTTAATTTTGAAATTTAAAACAGTGTTAACTATTTTAACTATTGTGGTGTACAGTAACCCAGCAGGATTTGGGGTTTTAGGGGGCGTATTCTTGAGCCCCTCTTGTGGTATGTTGCTCTGTGCTGCCATTCTGTTTTTGGCGCTGAAGGAATAAAGTCAACTGGTTTGTAGGCAGTTTGTTTTTTTTTTTCTTCTCACGCACTATTTTTGTGTTTTAGGAGAAAGCATAAAGTAATTTGCAGCTGCTTTTTGTTGATCAGTAATAATACAATCTACTAACTGTGTCTGGGTAACTAAATCAGTTTTTTCAATGCAGATATAACAGAGTTTATAAAAATAATGCATTGTGAGACAACAAAGAGTTTCAGGATACTCTCTCACCTCGTTCACCTTCTTGTTTTCCTGGGACTATATACATGTATTTAACCAAAATGTTATTAAAGCTACGTGTGTCTACAGCAGAACTGCTAAAACTGAGYTATATTTACTTGAGTAACTTTTTGGAAAAATGTACTTTTAGAAATAGTTTTACTATATGCTTTTCACAACTTGAGAAATACTATTATGAAGTATCACTACTCTTACTTTAGCAAAATTTCTGAATACTCTACCCACCATAAGTAACTTCACTGAATGAAGAACAAACATGTTTTAACCAGAGACACCTACACTTTATGTTGAAGTGAGACCTCTTCTATATACACAGACTTTGTCATTCTAACGCTATTTTCTTCTGCTTAGACATTTCGAGATCACGTGTGTGCCTATATATTCACAGACTACCTACTGTAAGTATTAGTTTCATAATGAAAACAATTTGACTTGGAAAAGTGTTTCTTCTGTCGGAAGTAGTTATTTTGTAATTATATTATTTATTTTTATTTATTTCCTTTAGTATTTAAAAATACCAGAATTTGCACATAACATTCTATTTTTTGTCCGTCTGATGATTTTAGTTTGAAATATGAAATCAGACGCAAWGATCAAGTACTCAGTACTGAAATAGCCATTTTACGAAATACTTTATTTTTAATTTTTCTTGAGTAATTTCTTGAACAGTTATCCTTACTCGAGTTAAAAATATGTTAAAGTAGTGCTACTCTTGAGTACATCTTTTGGGTACTTTACCCTCATCTGATMGACAGACGCCTGAAAGTTACCAGAACCACAAATATTCTCTTCATTCTATAGATTCGGTAAATTAATCTATTTGTTGATGTTTGTTTGCATCTAAAATGAAAGGGTTTTCTCTCAGATTTTTTCCTGCTGTGTGGTTCAGGTTTGTGGTGAACAGATCCTGAGTAAAGTGTTTGTGTGTGAGCTGATAGTGACCGTATCGTTAGTAGCAGTGGGTACCTGTGTCTTGCTGGTGCAGGTGAAGATGTGAGTGGATGTGTGAATGCTGGTGATGATGAGGCGTCACGTTCAACATCTGGAGACGCCCCAGATTCTCTCCTCCACCGCTTCCTGCCCCTGTTGCACCTCCACTCCCACCAGCAGCTCCTCCACCTCCACCTGCTCCTCCTCCACTGCTTCCTCCGCTTCCCCCCCTTTCACGCTCCCTCTCTCTTTCTCGCTCTCTGTCCCCAAAGGCCGGCAAGGCTGCTCGGTCCCGCTCCCTCTCCCGTTCCCTTTCCCCGCTCCTGTCGCGCTCATATGAGGCCGGGGAGCGGGTGGGAGTCGGATAGGTCTCGGGCGGAGCAGCGGGGGCGGGGGGAGGTGGCAAATGAGTGGACAGAGAGCTGGGAAAAGAAGAATGGGGGACAGGGTGATGAATTGAGGAGGCGTTGGAAGTCGGTGGACCAGGCTGAGGAGGTGCTGGAGGCGGAGCAGAAGGGGCTGCCGGGGCTGAGGGGGCAGCCAGCGGAGCAGACGAAGGGTGGGAAGGGAGAGAAGGTGGGAGGAGAGATGAAGGAGGTGGATTGGACAGGGACTGCAGGGCAGGGGGGTTAGGGGGTCGGGCTACAGCTGCCAGGGTCGGGTTCTGGAGGTGAGGAGGACCGGGTGGGGCTGGAGGCGGCGTGCCATAGAGTGACACTTCATTAGCTGCTGCACCTCCTGCGAGGAGCAGGGAGTGAGCGTGTGCGTGCGAATTGGTGTGGGCGTGCGAGTGTGAGTGAGCAAGAGCAATGACTGCAGGATCAGGTATGGATCCTGGTGGGTAGACCCGATCGTCACTCTTAAACTCAAATCCGGGCTTTATCCGGTCTCGATGAGCAGCCATTGCGTGAGGGAATCCAACGCCTCCTAAACCTGCTCCACCGATCCCTCCGGGTACTGGGCCTCCTGCCATCCCGGGGTGCCCACCAACGCCCGGACCACCTTCGAGGCCGCCTCCGTACAAGAAGCCCAGGATGGCCGCTGCTGTTGCAGCGTCAGCCGGCAGGTGGTGGGGGTGGCCCAAAGCATGATTCTGAAACTGAGGAAGGAAGAAAGATGGGTGGACGTGGGGGTGACCGTGGTGCACCTGAGCACGACTGGCAGCCCCGAGTGGAGACATAGCATGCGGACGAGCATATTCGCTCAGAGTTCTCAGCGCTGGTGTGTCAGGGCCTAAATAGGGACCTCCTAAACCTATTCCCAGGGCCCCCTGTGGGCCTCCAACTACTGCAGATGCCCCACCCATGGATGGTAAGAGGAGGGAGTGGGGGATCGTGTGGGAGAKACCGGGGTGGAGATGGTGTGCTGGAGCAAGGTGAGCATGTGGATGTGAGGGGTGATGCTGGGGATGAGCRGGAAGGTGGGTGACTGGGTTGCCGGAGGAAGAAGCAGAAGATGAAGGGTCAAGAATGATGGAGGATGAAGGAGGGAAGAAGAGTGAGGAGCCCTGGCGACCCCCTCCAGCAGCGCTGACATCCTTCTGCTGCTAAACAGAAAACAAGAGAAGACAGTAAATCATGTTTGCCTGACCTACATTACTCCTCTCCCATTAAGCAGATCAATTTAATCTACATCCAATCCATTAAATTTGACACTGTACATAATTATCACTGTGAAACGTGCACACCTGTAGGTGTCGATCCAGTTCCCTCTCGCGCTCCCGTTCTCTTTCTCTTTCTTTCTCTCTCAGGTCTCTGGCCCTCTGCTCGACTTCCCTGCGAGCCCTCTCAATCATCTCATTCCTCTTTTTCCACAGCTTGGAGCCGTCTAATGGGACGAAAAGGACATCACTGCGGGCACAAGAGTTTCCACTACCACGGTCTAGAATCTTGTGAAACCTTGAATCGACAGACAGAAACAGAAAAATGTTAGTGAGGCGCTAAACACAAAACACACTGACAATCTTAAAGGTATTCACAGCAATGTCATCAAGAACCGGCTTTAAAAAAATCTTAAAAATAAAATAGGAAATTAAAGTGCCTGTGACCTGCCTGTCCTTTAAATACAAAAAGTAAAAAAAAAAAATCTTTATATTTAAGATACTTGACAAAATACAAATTATTTTCTCATTTTGCCACAAATTTCTTTTGAACTTGGTTCAGCCAATGTGAAACAGGAAGCGACATCAAAGGGGAACTCTAAGAAAGAAAGTTCTCTGGTCTATTTTTTTTACTGAAACATTATTTGAACTCTGACTCTTCTTATCTCTCTGATAGTGACTCAAAATAATCTAAAGAAACAGATTCTTCTCTTCTGTCTGTGTTGTTGGCCGTTGTAGCAATGCTCTGTTTACATACAGACATTCCTTTTTGACATCACTTCCTGTTATTTCACATCTGAATATTTGAACAACTGCTCATCTCAGCAGAGTGATATTTTTTCAATATGTTATCAATGTTATCTTTCCAAAAATGTATTAATTTTATTACAAAAAATTGATATCATAGGCACTTTAAATCCACACAATTCTCCTGTGTCCTTTAACAAAATTTTGTAAGCAAAATTTGTGAATGGCTGTCATCAACCTTGTACATTTGCTTCACCATGAAAACAGCCAAAGCGACAGTAAATAGGTGAATTTTGAAACAGCAAACATATGAATCTAGAAGAATGTTTAAAAAGCCACAAGTRTTTGAATAATGTATTTATGATGCTATGCTGCTCTTCTTAATCTCCAATATTAATTATCAACAATTGTATTACGCATTCGTTCTCGTTTATTCATGTATAGCAGCAGATTTATCTTACATTTCTACCTAAATGTCTTTTTTTCAATTATATGCTTGTCGATTCCACCATATTTGTTTGCTTACATGGACTTCGACCACCCTTAATGTAGGCCAAGCCTAGGGTTACACGATACTGGCACAAGAATAAKCACARTTAATTKTGGTATTTAGTGGATAACAATTAATATAACTATTAATAGATGACAATTTGATTTGCCACATTGTGGCCTTTTTTAGTTTTCCTCATACTCTGGTTTATGTGAGTGTTTCATGTGATTAARCAAGTTCGTAGGGTTAGCATTAGCTGCTCTGTGCCTCCTGCCGCCATAGGGCTCACATGCCTCATAATGAGTGTGTCGCATAGAAAAATATGTCATCACATGGCACTAAATTCAAAGTGGCAAATTTTAATTGTTGACAGGTTTTCTGAGGATTGATTTGACAAGATATAATTCTTCCCAACGCCAGTCATGACTTTAACTTTGTGTGCATTTTCAGAATTGCACAATATATCTAGAAAACCACTAGAGTAAACTCTTTCAAACAGCCCGATTTGAAATAGTTTAATATTTTTCTTTGAGAGTTAGGTTGAAGATGATGAGAGGGCTTTACCGTGCTGATTGGCTGGCATGGATAGGAATATCCACGTGTTTTGGTTCAGGAGAAGGACTTCTCAAYACTGCTGGTGGGCTTTGGCTCTCTTCTCGTTCCTCCAGGGGTTCCTCCTTGATGACAGGCGTAGGAGGCAGGCCAGAATCTGGATGTCCCTCCCCGCCAGGATGGGAAGAGCTCGAGGCAGGCGTTGAGATGTTGCTGTTGTTGGTGGAGCTACTAAGAGGCGGAGGAACTTTGGAGACATTTTGAGGTGAGAGCGACTGTGAGTTGGTATTGCTGCTACTGGCGGCGCTGCTGCTGCTACTAGTGTTTGCCACAAAGCTGCTGTTGTTTCCATTGGGGTGATATGTTCCACTGAATTGAGGGTGGTTGTTCAAAGTGCCGTGGAACGAYGAAGGGCGGCATCCAGGTGAACAGCTGGATGGCACACCTGGCGCAGGAACCTGTATGCTGGGTGCTGACGAGGAGCCAGGGGGAAAGGATGAGAATGCTCCTATCGGATTGGTAGACGGGCTGGGTAAGGGAGACAGGGGTGTCGGGGGAGTCTGGGCTGAAGACTGATAGTGTGAGGGACGTGCAGAGGGTCCCATACCTGAGGGTGGTGGTTGGGCATGGGAAGATTGAGTTGGGGGTAGAGTCGGCGGAGGAGTTGGATGTGGGTATTGTCCATGRTGACTAGAAGAAGACGAAGGAGAGAGCGCAGGAGGTTGATTTGGGCCCCCACGGCTTTGGTACAGGGCAGACTCTCGCAGGTTTGCGTCCCTTTCCCTGTCTTTGGGACCAGACTGGTAGTGAGGATGTGGTGGGTGAGGGTGTTGTGTTCCTCCAGGTCCAGAATACTCTCGACACATGTTTGGATTTACTCCAGGGGAGCTTAGGTACTCCCGATTTGTGCCAGCAGAGGAAAGTCCCCCAGTAGGAAAGTCTTTTCCTCCAGTAGGAGGGTACTCTCTGTGAAAGTGGTCCGCTCCAGAGGAGGATGTTTGTGTCTGGTCCATGGGAGGAGGAGGAAAGTCCCGGTTTGATGAGTTTGGGGGATGGGAGTGAGGGTGTGAGGACAGGGACGGATGGGAAGGGTGACTGGGATTGTTTTGAGGAGATGAAGGCGGGTCACGGTTGAGGATAGGGGTGACTGGTAACCCACTGGTTGAACTTGGAGGGTTTCCTTGTGGCGTGGAGTTGTTGTTGGGGTTGCTGTTACTCACGACCTCCCTAGAYTGGCCTACAAACTCACCCCATCTGTTGCAATCTTTGTCCCTGGGATGYCCCCCCGTGGTTCCACTGGGGCCAAAGTCTCTACTCTGGTTTTGATTTGGCAGATTAAACTCCCTTCCTCCCTCACGTTCCCTTTCACGCTCCCTGTCCCTAAAAGCTGGACCAAAGTCTCTTCTTTCTGGACCTAAGTTAGGTCCRTCTCTCCCAGCACCTTGGTACTCTCGATTCTGCCCCACTGAGAGACCGCCAAACTCCCGACCTGGAATGCTGTTGGACGCCCCCATCGCGCCACAACCATTATTACTGTTCCCCCCACCACTACCATTGCTGCTGTTGCCAATGGGCGCAGAAAACTCCCGGCTGATCTCTCTCCCCCCACACTCCCCTCTCACTCCCCTCTCCCTCTCTCCTGCAGCTCCCCTCTCTCTGTCCCCTCCCCCTCCAGCATACCTGGGAAGGTACTCCCTGTGGGGGTGGGGGTGAGGATGGGGGAGGTAAGAGGGGTGGGAGGAGGAGTGGCGAGAGGATGGAGGGTTGTAAACAGAGGGGAGCTGCTGCTGCTGCACAGGAGGCTGGTGCTGTGGGTGGTGGTTACCAGAGTAACGGGAGTAGCCCCAGCTACCCTGGCAGCCGGTTGCCGTGCCACCCTGCCAACCGGTGGAGCTGTAGTGATGAGGATGGCCGGAGGGCTGGGTCTGGGGCTGGGACTGGGGTCCGGACTGGGGCAGCAAAGAGGGGGGCGTTGACTGAGTCTTGTCCAAGAGTTTGTCTGATTTTTCACTTTTGTCTTTTTCCATCTTCACTTCAACAGGCAAGCTTTGACCCCCATGCTCCAAGGGTTTCAGAGCCGGTGGAGGAGGGAGAGGAGGGGGCAGCGAGTGAGGGATGCTGGGGCTGTTATGTGAGAAATCTCCTCCAGAGATAGTCGTCTTGTTGATGCACTGTGTGCTGGCTTTGGAAGTCATTCTGCTCCCACTAAGGGTGCCCTCAACACCCGCCGACGTACCGTACTCAACTTTACACATTAGCTTAGAGTCCAGGGAGAAAAACGACTTCCTCCCACTGTTGCTGTCGTTTGATGAATCTCCAACTCCGCGTAGAGAAGGAGTCAGACTACAGGAGGAGCAGGGAGTGGAGGGCGGCTTTAAAGAYGGGCAGTCCTCAGCTGCCTCCACGTCTCGCTTTTCTCCATCTCCACAGGACTCTTCTCCTCTCGCCTCTCGTAGCGCTCTCCTGTCTTCTCCTGAAACCTTCCCCGCTCCTCCATCTTTGCTTTTCTCTCGTTCTCCTTGCTTTGGTGAGTCGGGGCCGTCAGAATCCGAGTCCAGGCTACCCAGGGGTGAAGCAGAAAGACTCGGAGATGAAGAACGATTGTCCTGGTCGATATCCCGCCCACTGCTCAGACTACTGCTRCTATTGGCCAGACTCCCTACAACTGAACTCCTGCTGCCCTGGGATTGGCCATCTTCGTTGTCACTCTCGCGGGATTGGCTGGGAACTGTGGTTGGAGCCGGGACAGTGGAAGGAGTAGAGTTTTCAGTCAAATGTGTTGATGTTGGAGGGTTTGGGGTAGAGCCTGAATCCTGCTAAGAAATTTAAAAAAGCTGGATGAGATGAAAAATGATAATATCGACTAACTGCACACTTATTTAATGGAAAAAAATAAAGTTTAAGCTGAGACCATCGTTTACGAGCAATCTCTCTGAATCATGGCCTTATAATCTGTCTTTATGTAACAAAATGTAACACAAACCTGAACTTTCTGCCTCTTTGGAGGAGAAACAAGTTCCTCCCCCTCGCTCTCTGATGAATCATGCCCTTGTGATCTGCGACTGAAGCGATTTACAGCCAATTCCTCACCAGCACTTCTTTGCTAAAACAATACAACACTTTTAATTATACTGTGATGATTTTGAATCTTTTAATAGAACAATATCTGTTTTTAGAACAAAGCCATAGCTGCATGCACACATACACAAATACACACAACACAACACAACCACACACACACACACACACAC